CCGGTTAAATTGCGGTCCGTCGTTTGAAACGAATATTTAGCTTTTCCATACTTGACAGTAGAATGGCATTTTCTTTTTTTAATACAGGACTTACATCGGGGATCCAATTTATCCAAGAGAAGGGGAAACGGATGAGCAATTGGCGGACAGGGTAAGCAGTCTCTGCATCATTAATCAACATCCATAGGTTACGCTTGAAGTGCTGTGATAAAATTAACAATCTGGAGCATCGTCTTGTAGACCCGTGAAGCAATCGAAGATATGATCTCGCGCTACCAATGGCGTCCAGGTAACGTGGTGATTGCGCTGTTGCAGAGGTTTCCATGTTTTGATGCCTGGCTTCAATCGAAAAATGCACAGAATTACCGTTCCAGAAGACGAAAAGACTCGTGATTTATAATTAATCCATTTTGCATTGTTTTGTATTCATTTAATCAGATTCTTGATTATTTTGCAATAAAGCACCGAGGTTACCGGTGGACTGTTATTTCTTTCCCTTGGGTCTTGATGGTGGTCGCCTTCTGGGTGGTGAGTCCCACATGAATCGCAGATACCGGGAGGATTGATTTCTATGATAGTGGATGAGGAGGAGGCTAACCGGCAAAAGGTTAGATACGCATCGAAGCTGGTGTGCGTACCTGTGTCGCATATCAGTTAGCCTTTAATGAATGCAACTGCATCGATTCCGGGATTTCGAACTTGCTGTATTTACAATTTATTTTGCAAAAGTCAGCTTTAACTAATTTTTATCTAGCGCTGGCTAAATAACTTACATCAATTTAACTGCAACATGTCGAATCTTTAAATAATTATAAGGAACACGTTCGTTTGCATAATGACATCAGGTAGGTTTGTTTTACTCCTCGAGTTTTTGCGTGCGAAGTGCGTAGGCGTTGGCTTCGCTATCACTTAGAAAATTGTCGTTTCTGGCGTCATTGTGGTGATTGGTCTGCAGTTAGCTCCAATCGTTATTAAATGCGGTTTTGATATGATAACTACAAGCAGCTGCACTTCATTTACTGTCATTATGCTGACTTAACATAAACAAGTTATCTTTAGTGGATTCATTGCTTTGCCAATGAACCTTTCGAGAAATACAAATCATTTGCTACATTGTCACCCCATAGGCAGCAAGTGCATTAAACCTGCGCTGCTGTTAAATCGTTTGATGCACCCAGTTGGTCACTTGTTTGATGGTTCTTGTCTTCGCCCTTTTAGGTGCGTGTGATGTTGTACAGCCTTCGCCGTTGCCTAACTGCCATGAGCATCAATCCACCAGTCGCACTCACTTTGCGCCTACAGGAAGCTGTGGATCGTTGGCCGATAGATCCCACAAAGAAGCATCGTGATATTCGTATTTACCTGGAACAACGCGCGCGCCACCTCATCGTGTCCGATACACCATGGGAGAAGCTCGAACAAGAGGCTGACTGTCTAGAACGTCTGGCATCGAATGTGTATCGAGACAGGTACCCCATACCTCAAGGTTTAGGTGGACCTTCACCTATTGTTGCCGCTACCGGCCTCGATCTCCCATCCATCACCGCAATCCTATCAACTGGAGACGATTCTATGCCGAAGAAAGGGCTCGTATCCCGTCTATTGCGGTTCTTTGGCTAAGCTGTGAACTTAGTATCCCTTCCCAAGTTCCGTTGTAGATGATCAAAACAGTTCACATTCCCCAGGAGGCGTTCGGAGACATGAATAGAATAACGTTTGCTTACAAGAATGACATCCAAAACGACTAAATTTATCGCAGTCGCTAAGACTCTAAAGTCAACGTACACATGAGGATGGTTTTTTGCAGTTTGGCTAAGCTAGAATGAGTAATGGACTTGCATGCCAAAGGTTAACGCCAGCAGTGCACGGAACGAAAGCGAGCGCATGGAAGAGAGTAGTGATTGGTGAGTACGTAAGTATTTACAATGCAATACGGACGATGGAATACAAATACATACGTGCACATGCACACTTATCCTTTTATAGTTTCAGCTTGCGCCTTTGGAGAGTAGGAATGATGGGAGCGTAGACAAAATAGCATGGCGTTAATGAAGTGTGGAGGTCAAGGGCAAAGACGGGTCCGGTGTGTTACTCAGATTGACTATCCATAAAGGCCTCCTGGATTTCTTTTACCATTTTGATGCGATTCAGCATCACCTGCAACTGACTGGCCGGAACACGAGTCTCAGAGAACCAAGTTGTGGAAGACGGTTCAGGCAGAGGATTAAGATAAAATGATCCACCTCCCGCAACCAATGTCTGGGGGCTGAGGAATCATAAAAATACGTAACTCAAAACCAGAATAAAGTACTGGGCGTGGAACCTTAGCGTAAGCAGTGTACGCCACCTTAGTATCCACAGGTTAACCATGCAAACCTTGGGTTGTTCCGATGGCGCTACTTTCTGTTGGAGAGCTATATCAACCAAACTGCCAAACTCAGCAGCAGTGACTTTCTTTACCCTCCACAGGCAGAAAGCAACACAACCTACCATTTTTTAAGGTAAGTTCGGAAAAGTTGGATCGGACAACGAGAGAATTGTTCTCCAGTATAAAACATGCGGTAGGAGTCAGAGCTACCACTGGACACGAAGAGTACACACTCCGATGTGGGATTCTCGCGTTTCAACTTGAAATTGGAGAATCTGAGTTGGGCATGCTGGTCCCCTGTGCGAAGCCACATGTGTTTGGTGATAAAGTAGAGGAGTGTAAAGAGTAATATCTGTAAGCAAAAAGCAACAAATGGTGAGCGCTTGAAGATCAAATCGACGGATGCAAGAGATAAGCGAAAAACCCATTTCTACTGCATATTGAGAGACCGACACTAATTCCTACAGCAGGAATAATTGTGCTCATGTCAACGGAATAGAGGACAATGAAGGCGAGTACGATTAGATAGATATTTCAACGCAGTCAATCGAGAAGTGCAAAATGAAAGTTGCAGAACCTACGTGAGGTGTCTCATCACCAAGTTGTCTGGCTTCCCACATGTGCTCTTCTTCGATTCGACATATAAGCATGCCTTCCGGACTGATGCGAGGACGGAAATCAGCCAGAACG